CTAAAGCATTTGACACTTGGTATTTTATAGATGAAAAGGAAAATCACTCACCAGCAATTGCTTTTGTTATAGTCTTTTCTGCTTTGTTCTAACACATACATTCAAGGACAGAGAATATGTCAACTCCTCCTACTTGTTAGTAGCAATAATACAAAAAGTATGGATAGGCCTAGATCCCAAATCACAGCTTATATTATCAGATTTTTTAAAAAAGAAGAAGCTCCTATGCAGACATTTACCAGAGAGTAGGTCTCATTGACCTAAGTGAGACATATAATCAAGAAGACATGTGAAGGATTACTCTGTAATAGATACAGAGAATAATAGATAAGAAATGAGAAAACTGTGTGTGTGCGCGCGCGCGCATGTGTGTGCATGCATCTGTGTATAAATTTCTAAAAACGTACAGCTAACATTGCAAGACTTATGTCAGGATACTGGACTATCACAGCAAAAGAAGGGTTCCTTGACAGCTGTGCATGCTTTCCAGTTATCTAGGCAGCTGCATCACTTGGTTCACCATGATGCAATTTCCTCCTTCAAGAAAATTTCCATGGGGGGTGGGGAATCTAATTATCCCTTACAGATCCAACTCAAAAGAAATGTCAGAAGATGTGAAAGGGAAACAACATAAGTAGAAGTAGTTGCATTTCTCTGTACTGTTCATGGAAGGAAGCCAACTTCATCCAGAAGAGTTATTTTTGTTAAGACGCTCAGGAGGGAGGTGTAAAAACAGCATGAAAATGAGAACATGCATTAACAAGCTACAGGTTGTAAATGTATGACACCTGAAATAAGAAATAAGATTCCAAGAAACTTTATATTAGAACTGAAAGAAAATGGTCTATACATATAAGGTCTCACTGATAGGAGTTGTGGACCTCAAATAATAATGTGTCTCCATATATATCTTTTTTTATATTAAAAATACATGGGCTTCCTAAGTTAGAGAAACCTAAATAAGAAAACATGAACCTCTAACAGTTTGAAAATCAGTTGAATCGAACTGAAATAACAAAGCCACAGTTTGCTGAACTATCCTATAAGTTGGTTAATTTGTGAAGGGGTCCTTTTGATCCTTTAACTATGCTATGAATATTTGTTTTCTTGGTACAGACATGGAAAAGTATGGTGGAAGTGCCAAGCAAGACCTTGATATTAAGATTAGACATGGTTGCTTTGTATTCATTTTCCCAACGAAGCATGGCACCACAGGTGATGCAGATTCCCTTCCCCCACCTCCCAGAGCTGGCTGGACCACTAACCAGCTCCAGGCATTGCTGGGCAACTTATATGGTGGCAGGACACCAATCAAGGCAGGAGCCGGACCCACCTGCCCAGCTGACTACTGTGGCAAAGCACTGCTTCCTAGTCAGAGTGATTGGCTGCCTGGGGAAGCAAGGCTAGGCTAGCCAGGCTCCTGCCCAGATTGGTATGCCAAAGAAGATTCCCAGTGATACATGGAGTGGCCCAGCTAGCATAGAGGGCTGGGTGAAGAGAATCCACACCACCTATGCCACGCTTCATCAGGAAAATGAATATGAAGCATCCATATCTGATTAAGATGTGTTCCCTAATTTGAACTGTGGTTCAGATATAAAGGAAGGGTGATATTAAAGTTTATGCTAAAAACAATAACATCACAATTCCTAAACTTATCATCTGGAAAACTGGATGCTCTATTACATGCACTATATCCAGCTGGTAATATATCTGAAGTTTGAATTCTTCTCAGGTAGCCCTGAACACCTGTGGAGCTAGTATGAAAGTTCTTTGTGACAGGAAACATGGAGCTGAAATTCCCACAGGAATGTCATAGAAAAGAAGAGTCCTATCACAGGATATTGTCTTTACTGCATAGTATGCTTCATGAGCTAAGCATCAATATAGATAGTTTTGTATCCTGCAGTCTATGTATTTAGTAGAAAAGGATGAGTGAATGAGCTGCCTAGATAATTACAGTTCTACAGAGAATAGGGCTACAGTTCTCCAGCAGTGGAGATGGGGGGACATTTAAGCATCTTATAAAATGCTACTCTCTGCGGTACATGTCTCAGGTCAGGATAACCATCCTTTTTCCATTTAGTCTTTTGAAGATTGAAGACTGGAAGACTTAAGCTCTGATCTACATTTTTGTCATGATCTCCAGAGGAATCCTCCACCTTCTATGCCACAGATGATGTTCAATGTGGGTAAATCACAAGATGAAATCCTTCTGTTGATTTTTCCGTTACAGCCAGCATCTTCCCTAAGTTTCTGCCAATCAGCATGTTGATTTTTATCACATTTAAAAATATTTATATTATTGCTTGTCTTTCTGCAAAGAACTCCATGACATAAATGACCATTTGACTGAATATTTCTGTGAATATTCCCGAGAAGCCATGACTGATCCATTCTCACTAATGAGGCTGGTGGGCTATGTGGGAATTTTAACCCACTTTTCCATGACCTAGTACCTGACATTCTAACAACACATTGCTGGCTCTCACCCTTTTCACTGTCAGAGTGCACAGCATATTGTGATCCTGCATTCAGCTATAGGAATGCACTGTATTTTCATAGGCCTGGTAGACTCAGTTTATTGTGGTCATTAAAAAATCATTTCCAGGAACAGGAAATTTCTGACACTGAATTTTGAAGATTTTTTTAAGGATTAGTCATTAAATAAAGTTGCTTTAGACAAATACATGGAAATGGGAGGAGTACCTCAACTGATTTATTGAAGCTTGTGCCAGTACCATAACTAATTTGCAGAGGCTACATTCTTTGGATTAGTAAAGACATATGTACATTTCTGAAATGCGGCAGAATGCATGCACTAAATCCCAGGCTCACAGACTGTATTCCAAACTATCTGTTTGAAGGAGAGATGTTAGAATCTCTGTATTCCTTTTTTTCTTTTGCAGTATTTATTCTCTTCACATAAAAGCATACCAGACTATAAAAACATAATCAGTAGGCACATTTGGGAATATGAATAAGCCAGAATTGTAAACAATTATATCTAACTGTTAATGAGCCAGTGTTGATGCACACTGTTCAATTGATCCCACCTGGTTGCTTCTGTAAGTGGGAGCTGCTAAACCAACAGCAGACCTTCTGCTCATGTTATTATCACGACACACAGACCAGGAATTCTGGTTTGTCTTTCTCTTCACAAGCCAGGATCAAAAACCATGAGTTGTTCTTGAACTGTGACTATAGGTTGCTTAAGAAAGAGACAAGCCATAGTTCCTCCTTAAACCATCATGATAAAGAAACTAGGGTGTCTGATTTCTTTTGTCATTTCTGCTGAAGGGATACCATTGGAGAGACTGGCTCGTCCAGAACCCTGGGACAGGAGAATCTAGCCAGAGTCTTCCTAAGACATCAGAACATAAACTTCCATTATACCAGCATGTAATTTTTTTAAAAGCCTATTTCCTGATATACAGATTTCTGTTTCAGATTACCATTTATTGTTTATTTCTCAAGCATAGGATTTTGGCTTCCCTACTTTTTAATGTGAATACCATGTTTTTAATTTTTATTTTGTCCTTTGTTCATTGCACATCCAGCAAGACTGTTTTTTCCAGGACTGCTCAGTTACATCAAACTGAATATGATAATTTGATACCAATGTTCAAATATGCTTTCTCTGCAACATAGCTTCTAAGGCAAAATAATTCTTTTTTGTTAAACTGGCTATAAGCAGGACAAATGACTACAGTACAGCAAAGATAAAATACAGAGTATGACCAATTTAGTCTTTGACATTTCTGCATGCTGAAATCATCAATAGCTGCCAGATTTCATTGTATTTATAATTAGAAAGACTGCATTCTAAATTAAGATTCATGCTTTATGGGGGAACTTCAAATAATAAATGTTATTACAATGAGCACTTAGGTGAATCAAACATATGGTTATATCTAAAACAGATGTCAGTTTTGATAGCAGCTGATTTTTTAATATTTCATAGCACTGATATAAAACAATGTATAGCAAAACATAAGAAATCCAGTGTTAACAGAAAACAATACTGTACTTGAAACCAGGTAATATTTCTGCACACATACTGTAAATGTGTACTATAAAAAACATGCATTTTGAAAGAAAGCACTACCAAATATACCAACTGCCAAATAATGACTTTGAAGCATTCAGAAGCCTGAATTCCACAAAGCTTTAAAGGGATCTTCTTCTTTTTTACCTGTTTCTATCATCATAGCAACTAAAATGTGATAGAACGGTAAGAATCACAGAAAATGTTACAGACTAAATTTATAAAGGGATTGCAGCTTGTATGAAAACTTGTTATTTGGGGTGGTATCCAATGACACATTACCATCAGCAAAAGCCAACAGAGGCCAAAAAACCACCACCATTACTACTGCAATGCCGCCACCACTCAGAAACTAGGTAACTGCAGTGATAATCTAGGAAACCTTCTGAAGGAGGTTTTCAGCACTGCAAAAGGCTGAAGAAGGCATCAGGGATGAACGTAATGATGCTACTGCCAACTTTACATTTGATTTAGCCCTATGACTTTAAAATTCTTTACCTGAAATTCTCTTGAACATAGAGACAATAGTTATTTTAACTGTCCCTTACTAAAGCCATAGTCATATTTCTTTCGCACTGCATGGAAGCTCACACTGGGACACTGTCAATTGATTTCACACCTTTTTATTTCCCTTTATTAAACATCTGATATTTATGCATACTCTTTGGCATCTTTCAGCACTCTTTAATAATATGCCAGGAATACACAAATTATAAACGTAGTCAGTTACATCAATTACTTTTTATTCTGTGACCCACATTGATTCTGTTGGGTCTCAGACGAATATCTTACCATCTGAGTTCTTTCACTTGGCAATACTATCACCTGAACATGAGATCTCCTGCATGCAAATATGTTCCCTTCTATTAAACTATGGCTTTTCTTACACAGTGTAAAAGTAAAAATCATCTTTCAGCGGATCTTAAAAAATAAAGCAAAAACACAAGCTTACCAAATTCCAGCCTGGATAGAGATAGTCAGTTCCAATAAATTCAAAATAGTGAGCAAAGCCTTCTTTTAGCCATACATCTTCCCACCACACTGGAGTCACAAGGTCACCAAACCACTAAAAGAGAAATTCCATTAAACCATGTTTTTATTGTTACATTGTAAAATAATTACATGCAATTTCTATAAGGAGGATGGATCAAGTCTCTACAACACAGAAAAACCCCTCAATCATTCTCAGGCATTCTTCCATTACATGCCTCCCTGCTCTACTTTCTTGAAAATGCTTCAGGCTGTTCTCTTTGCAATCCAGACAAATGTGTAAGTTGTTTCATGGTAACAATCAAGGAGGAGGAGAGAAACTTTGAAATACGAGATAGAAAATAATGGTAGAGAGATGAATAAAATAGTGAAAGGAGGAAAAGCTTGCCGATGGAGAAAATGAGGCAAAGGAAAATTACCAATTACTTTATCTCAGAACTTGTTAAACAGGAAATAACATTTAAAACTGTTATTGTATTGATGACTACCCAAGCATTTATTCCAGCACTGCAAAAAGACACACCATTTCAACTGTTCAGTACTGTAACACCATTTTTCTTTTTAAAAGAAAATTTCTTTTTTTCTTTTCTCATATATATATATGAGAATAACTAAAGATGAGAAATATTTCTGCTGGATTAAATGTTTCAGACACAATTCAGTTAGTTTTTATCAATAGACATCACAAAGCATCGTATTCTCCAGAATACACTCCTCCAAATTCACAGAAAGCTAGAGACAAAAGAAGAAAGTATGAATCCATGCAAATACCGCCTACAACGTGCTATGTGAATTTCATTAATCTCTTTTATACCTAACCAGTAGCACTCTGGCATTCCTTGGTACTGTATCAGTGGCTCCAAAATTTTAGTCTCGAAGTGTTGCTCAATGACAACTTCCATTATCTTTGAAAATTGGCAATGCCATATGGGGAAGAAGAGAGCCAATCTTTAACAACATGAAGAGACCCAAGTTTGAGACCCACTGTCTTAATTGGTTGCAATTCACACTGTGTTCAACTATGCTAAAATAATTAGTTATTTTTGGCTAGAAAGAGACTGAGTAAATTGGTACCAGATCAGCATTAGATGTTTTCGTAACAACAGTATTACTTGTATCTGGGAAGTATCACAGCCTATAACTATACAGAGACACTAGTGTATTCTCTTCTCTCTCAAACACTGAATGCAACCATCCTTTCAGAATAAGCCTTTGTTATGAATGAATAAATTTCTGATTTCTAAGATGAAAGATTAAACAGGATTATTTAAGAACAGCTTATTTTATCCAAAATATTATCCAAATATTTTGGATCACATAGAGTTACAGAAATATGTTTAACATACATATAAGGGCTTCATGTTGAACACCAAGACCCATCAAAATTCTTATCCAGGCCCAAACCCAGTAAACTTTGCTTCCAAACTAAATATGAAAAGCTAGAAAATCGTGTCTTGTACATTTTTACTCGAAGATATGCATACACTGTGACCCCACAAAGCTCACAAAAATTAAAAATAATCATTTTTAAAAAATTTGCTCAAGAAATGATATGATACCTTAACAGTTTATCATTCTATTGTAAAATAAAGTATGTAGCATACCTCTTGTTTTGGCAGAATAACGTTTAAAAAATCAGGATTTTTTTAAAAAACTAGACGTGAACTTTCTGCTACTAGTGAAGCTCCCAGAGGATCCTGGATAAAGGATCCTGGATAAAGGGTGTTATTAATATTAATTACTGGGTCTATTGTAGTTATCAATAAAAGCTGGATTTCGTCTAGTAATAGTATTACTAAATGTGATCCATGAAACAATTCTATAGTAATAAAATGATGTATTAAGGAGGATGAATGATCCCATTATTTCATACATCTATTTTAAATATATGTGCAAAATAAATATATTTATACTATGCATATACATTCAGTTTAGGGCAACATATCTTGAAAGCACAAGAGACAATTCAGACAAAACTAAGCATTTAATTATTTTGTAATTCAAGGGGACAGCTAAGCATATCCTGAAGTCTCTCTACCAAGAAGTTAATGGAATTTAAAATTCTTAGCTTTACCCACTTCATAATAAGATTTGCAGATTCTCCATGTGCTATTTTTCATTCTTTGTTTAATTAAAAAAATAAAAATAAAATTTCCATTCAATGATATTTTTGTTAAACTCAGATTACTATAAACTTTCAACATGTTTTAATGTAAGAGTAAGAAGACAGAAAGAAACGGAGGTAGAATAAATGAAAAGCATTTAGTGGAATGTGGCCCAATATATGTAAGACTTTCATAACACAGAGAAATAAAATACACATGATTTATGTACCAAAGGCATTGGATGAAACACAAAGAAAAAAACTGCTAGCAAAGTATATGTATGAACAACAGAGGAGCTAAAAATTGATTTCAGCCAATGCAAATTTTGACAAAAATATAAAACTTGGCTTGAGATTTTTCTAACACTATAGCAAATTATTTCCAGAGACCACCACCACACTGAACTATATAAAAGTCCATTAACAATTATTCCAAAGAAAGCTTGATATTGATTTGATAACTGCTTCATGAAGATGAAGCAGTGATAATGCTTATGATTAACATAACAAAATTTACTCATTTTGAATAATTCCAATCTGTTCACTGCAGTAGTCTCCCAAATTAATGTGTTCAGCCTTTAAGCTTCTACATATGAGAAATGGGTTAGTCTAATTATTTCCATGATAAAATATTCAGCATGGGAATGTTTAAGACCCCCCCTTTCTTTTTTGTAGCTTAATCTTGCATGCTCATAAATGATAGATTTGTCTCCTACCTGATGGCATAGCTCATGTACAATGACCATGGTGACATCAAGTAAGTATGATATGGAAGAAATGCTTGGGTCCAGTAGTATCCTCTGCTCCACAAACACACTTAGTCCCCAGTTCTCCATAGCAGCATACGGATGCTTAGGCACAGCTAATAGATCTAGAAACAGAATGAAATGTACTTTTAACATGCTTGTGGCACCTGTTCTGTTCTAAAATCTCCTATTAACTAAAAATGATGAACTATCATTAGGATTTTTTTTCAATATTTGTGCAAAAATGAAAGCATTTACGTTCTTTAGCAACTATACGTATTTTTTTTTAAAAAAAAATTCAATTAGCAAAGACACTTCTATCTTCATTGCTTTCTATACATCATGCCTTAAAGAGTCCCAGAGTTAACTCAGAGGACTTTAATTCAAAACTAGAGATGGACATAAATGATTTGTTTTCTGATTGAAGAGCTGATCCATGGTTCAGTGCCCTACACACTCCAGCAGGCACCCACTCAGTGTTTCATACCCATATCTATTCAGAAGTATAATTACTGTACATCTGATTTTAGTGATTTTAGTGTTATTATATATCAGTCACTGGGGGAAAACACTGGATTCCATCACTGACTAGGGTGAAACAGATGTAGGTTTACCCAAACCTAGCATTCATAGGATCACATCTACTTGCCTATGTATCCACACAAAGAATTCTTAAAAGGAAGCTCCTCGTTGAAAGGAAGATGGGCTACCTACACAACATTCATGCCTCCAGTATATTAGAGAATGAACTCTCCAAACACCAATGGTATTCAGCATAAAACTACAACAAATCAACTTTCAAACTGTTTCATCCAACTAATCAATAAAGTGATGCAACTGCAACATGTTCTGCAGCTTGTAGTTCCTACCCCAATGTACTATTTCTTTAGTTTACAAGGATTCTGTTTTCAATTTAGGTAAGCAGTGTGCATAAGAAATTGTACCTATTAAAACATCAGGCAAATGGTTTAGGGGTGGTGGTTGTTGTTTTGTTTTAAGCCTGCAATTATGCATACAATCACATTAACATTTACAGCAGTTAATGGGAAAATATGACATTAGTTTGAAGATTAGTACGGTTAGGTGCACATTTTCCATTCCTTTAATTACACAAAAAGGCCAAATTTCTTAGTTCACGTATTATGTTAGAACACATGTCGGTGTATATTGTTCTCCGTTCACATAAGACGGAAGAGACCTTTTACATCGTGTTTCGACAAAAAGTAAACCGTCTGTGCAATTTTAAGTAAGCCGAGAACGATATACACTTGCAAGTCTTCACAAAACAAAAAGTTGCATATTGTTCTGTTTAGAAAACCGGAGTACAGTGGTGCCTCGCTTAACGATCGCTTCGTACAACAAAAAATTCACTTAACAATAGCTTTTGCAGAGTGATCTTGTGCTTCACTTAACAATTTTCCCTATGGGCGATTTTCGCTTAACGATTTTGGGACCATGCTTCACTTAACGATGACAGTTTTAGGTCCCCTTGTTTCGCTTAGCGTTTTTTCTACAGCCCCGTTTTTGCTATTTTTAAAATATTCTAAAATGTTTAAAAAATGTTTAAAATGCTTGGAATCATTAGTGCACCTAATAAAACCTTCATTAACATAATTTGGCTTTGTTCTGAGTCTTTTTGAATTTTTTGTGAATTTTTCCCCCCATTGAAATAGGCTTCAATGCATTTCAATGGGTTTCGCTTAACGTTTTTTCCTATGGGGATTTTCGCTTAAGGATGGTAATCTGTTCCAATTGGAACGGATTATCCGGTTTTCAATGCATCTCTATGGGAAATGGTGTTTCGCTTAACAATGTTTTCACATAGCGATGTTTTTTTTGGAACCAATTAAAATCGTTAAGCAAGGCACCACTGTATAAAAATAGGAAACAAAATATTTTAAATGTTGTTGTTTTGTCATTAAGTCGTTTCCGACTCTTCATGA